AGAATAGATAAAATGATCATTACTACATAAGTGTTTTAAATATGTAGACAACCCTGTGATCTGTTGGGTCATTGAGAGGAAAATAGTGCAGTCGCATGTGAGGAGAATGAACATTAAATTTTAGGCTGACCATATTTTATTTACCCCAGTTCTGCACAGTTCCATGATCATCTAAGAAGAGTATATAGCATAAACAGAAATTGAATTGAATTGAATACTTTATTGGCCAAGTGTGATTAACACACAAGGAATTTGTCTCCAGTGCAGAAGCTCTCACTGTACATGCAAAGCAACAGAATAATGATGATAATCATAATAATGATACCAATAAAAGGAGAGAATAAAATAAGAAGGTAAATAATACTACAGCCACACTACATAGATAAATAAACACAGACATATAAGAAAAATAATTATAGTGACAAACATACTTCAATAAGTCAATATTTATTTACCTAAACAGAGAAACAGACCATGTGCTTGCAAAAAAGAGCAATGGGAGTGGGAGCAATTTCTGATTTCCTCCTAGTTTCTCCAATAACTTGGCTTATGGGAAATTGGCAGTTAGCGTCAAAAATCATAGTCACGTGACCGTAGAGATGTTGCAACAGCCCAACTTTGGGAATAAAATTGGTCTAAACATGGAAATTTCAATTTTCACAAAAGTAATATGTCCTGTATTTTTTATGTATTCTTTAATTTAGTGGATTTTAGGAATCTTGATTTTAAAATTCTTGAAGTAGAATTTGGGCTAACTTGATGATGCATACAGATAAACAATGAAAGTTTTATTACTATATTATATTATTTATAATGGATAATAAAGTAAAATAAAATTGTAAGAAGTCTAAGCAAAAATGACTTTGCTTATTGCCAAAAAAAGTAAGAAAGTAGGCATGACTGACTTATTTTTATTGAACTAATCCAATTCACTGGATTTATATAATCATTGGTTAGCATTAAAGTACAGGTGTTTTAATAAATATGATTAATTAAAATAACCAAGTCTTTAATGAGACTTATTAAAAGTAGCTGATTTAGAGTAGTTCATAAAAGCCTGCATAAAGATGCAGCTGCTTTTTAAAAATGGCTGCATCCCTTGTTCCTATAAATTACAAATCTACTCAAGATGATTCTTCATTCTCTTTGAAGCAGGCCCAACATAAATCAGCAAAGCACATCAGCCACAAAAACATAATTACGGTATAAATCATGCATCATCTAAACACATAGGCTGAATTTGTAGGATCAAATTGTCTGGGTGTACCACTCTTCATGGATAAGGATTTCCTACGTCAATTTTAGATGACTGATAACCAGTTTCAAATGCAGGAAGCCCACAAAGATAGCTAGAATTATAATTTCCTGCTTTTGTCAAGGCTGGTCCATTTCAGGAAAGAAATCCAATTTACAGAGGAAAATATAAACTTAGTTTGCTCATGTGATTGATGAGGAGATGTAAATGCATCAAAAAGATGGTGTACCTAAACCCTATATTCAAAATCTACAATCAAGCGGGAGACTTCCGTTGGCAGGCGACTTCGTCGGTCGCAGCTGTTTGCTGCCTCCCGCCTGTTTCGCGTAAAAGCCGGTTTGACAGCCAGCACCAGCTGTCAAACGGCTTGATACCTTTCCCCTGGGTATAAGGGGATAGGTGAGCTGCCCGAGGTAGGAGTTGAGTTCCCGAGTCGTCCTATATGGACGATGTAGGTGAGAACTCCTCCGGAGCCCCGAGGATTCTCCGCGATCCAGGACGCCTTCGCATCGGCGAAGCTAGAAGCCGCCGCCACCGCTGCAACTTGAAGTTAATTGTGAGTTTTACTTGTAAGCAGACGAACCAACTTTGGAAGCTTGCTTTTTATTTTTGACTTTACTTTAACTTGGATAATAAGTTTCTCCCCGTATGTGTGTTGGAATGAGGAAAAGTGAAATTAAAATGGCGATGGATTGATACTTTTCAGCAAGAAGTGAAAGTGATTTCCGGTTTGAAACTTTTGTTACTTTGAATCTGCGTACTATTTGTTTTGGCTGAACTGCTCAAATTTACTGCTAATATGGTTCTGAGAAAAATTGTGCCTTTAACTTTGAGACCGATTACATCCCTGAGGTCTCAGACATTTCAACTAACTTCTGAAATTTTCCACTTGCCTCCCCCGTTATCTTTTTCACCTCCACCGCCCCTTGTCAGAGAGCTGCAGAATTTGGTCTCCGCAATGACTGAGATGTTTCAATTGTTTGATGTTAAATTTCAAAATAGATGTGATCAAGTGATGCTACAACAACAGGACTTATTACAACAACAAGATTTATCACAGAAACAGGAGGATTTTTGTTTGAATGCTACAATTGCTTCTCAAGACCTGGTTCAACAAGTGGATGCGGTGGTAGTTGATGAAAGCTATCCACACCCTGAAGGGGCCATATTAGAACCTTACATTGACTTTTTAAAAACGAACAAAATTGTGGAACAAGGAATAATAGAAGAGAGACTGAGTAACCCTGAACAGGCTTTTATATATCAAGACATACAATTTGAAGACTCAGAGCAACCTAATTGTGAATTTACACTGGGAGTAAATGTGGAAACTATCAAGCAAACTAATTTCATACGAAGCTACTTGGATAATTTTGATGACCAACAATTAATTGTAATTGACTCATTTCAACTGCTAAAAACAACAAAGATTGATATCCAGATCAATATTCAGATGATATTGGCAGAAAGGGAAGAAAATTTTGCTCAGTTTGAAGTGATTAAGTTTTGTAACCAAATTTTGAGGTTTGATAATCGAAACGCTCTAATATGGGAA